GTCCACTGGGAAGCATACAAGAGCCTTAGAAACAAAGACAGGCGGGAGCCCAGGGAGGCTGCCTGGGGCAGCAGAGGGCCCAGCCTCCCTCCCTGCTTCCTCTACGGAAGGGTCACCAGATTGGAGTTCCCACTTTGGGATGCTTCTGAAGAAGCAATGGGCCTTCTCTGCCCATCAGGCCCTAGGGAAGGGCCAGGTGATGGTGCATGGCCTGGGGAGTGTGAGGAGCAGTGGTGGGCTCCCGTACTGCCTGGCACCTCCCTGTGCCCTGTGGGCTGCGGCAGGCGAGGTGAGGCTCCTTGACCACGATGCAGAGGGAGGTGCCCACAGGGTCCCACAGGACCCCTCAGAGTCTGTCCAGTGATGCTGAGATGTGGAGGTGCAGAGCCCACCTGCTGAGGGGAGCAGGTCCAGGACCCTGGGCACTCCAGCCCTGTAGTCCCCAGTATCAGAGGGGTCCTGGGTGGAGCCCAAGAGTGGCTGCTGGCAGCGGCCGATGCCAGGTCAGTGAGAGCAGCAGTCATGGGCCGTGGAGATGTGACCTCACCAGCTGCTGGCACTACTGTCCTCCCAGGGCCATGTGGGCAGGTGCCTCTCCCCACATTGGGGGACAGGGTAGGGACAGATGAGTGCCCAGAGGAAGGAGCGGGACACGGAGGGGTGGCGAGGCTTCTGTAATGGGGATGACTCATGGGGCGGAGGTCCTGTTCCTGGCTGAACCAGAACAGGACCAAAGAAAGCCAGAGCTCAGTGGGCACCGAGGGGCAGGTGGGTGTGCTCAGAGACCGCACGAGGGAGGGCTCTCAGGTACAGCCCTGCCCCGCCTGCCCGCTGGGATTCCGGCCGAACAGCCCGTGGTGAGTCAGGCAGATAGGGTTTGACAGCCATGCTGTCGTGACTGTGTACTCCACCGTGTCCCTGAAGGATGGCCAGCGACCTTCTGTCAGGTCCTCAGCACAGGTGGGCCCCATGCCGGGCCGGGAGCCTCATGGCCCTGCCCCAAACCAAGGGGCCTCATGGACACCAGGTTCCTCACGTGTCTTTCCCTTCCTGAAAAGCTGTGGGCCCTGACTGCCCGTCCCTGACACTGGTGGTGCAGGACCTGGGCCTGTGAGGAGTCAGGGTGGGGCAGGGTTGCTGGGGCTGGTCCCCTAACAGGCTCCGGAAACTCTGGTCAAAGGGAAGGAACTTTGACGGTGGCCACCGAGCTGGTTTAGAGAGGCCTCCAGATCCCGGCTTCATATCTGAAAAGCAGTGATCCCTCCCCACCCTGTGAAGACAGGGGCCCTGCCCTCTGTGCAGGGGTAGACACGAGCTTCCCCGCCCACCTCACTGGGCCAGATCCCTCCTGGCAGCTTCTGGAGATGCTCCCGTACTGGCAGTGGCCCCGGGTAGGAACTACTCCCCATGCTGGACACCCAAACCTCCCCAGCCCATCCCGGGGTGCCACCAAGCTCTGTTGCTCGACAAGTCTGGGGCCATTGCCAGGCCTGGTGGCCTTGATCGATTGGGAAGAAACATAATACTTTGGAAAATTATTTCCTTATTTCTTTTTTCCTTTTTTGTTTTTTCTCCACAGAAATTGGAGAAACCTGTGGTTTGCAAATCTGCTGACCCTGCAGGAGGCTTGGATGGCACCAGCCGGTGTCAGGAAAGCCTGGGCCCGAGACAGAAAACACCTAGAGGCAGATCCAGCCCATTTTGGGGAGAAAGTGGGTCACTGAGGGGCCGTCCAAGGAAAGTGTGGGCTGGGGAGATGGTGGGCACCCACCACAGGGTACAGGAGCAGACACCAGGTCCCTCCTTCAGAAAGGGGTCCCGCCTCACCCTCAATGCCCATCCAGCTCCCAACATGGTGCCTGAGGGCACTCTGGGTCCCATGTCCATGCCTACTCTGGAGTGAGGTCGGCACCACCTGCCCTGGCCTCAGTTTCCTCATCTGGCACATCCTTATCTCCTGCCCGGTTAGGAGAGCTTGGGTGCTGGTGGCTGGGGTGGACCACGGTCCGGGGGCACATGGTGCGAGGATGTGCTGGACTCAGGGGCCGTGGCAGTGCACTGGTCTCAGCACAAAAGGCCCCAGTGATCGGGGGGACTGCACCCCACAAGCCATACCCAGCTTCCTCTGCTGCTGCTCCTCTGGGCATGGGGCCTCGGCCGCTGCTCCTCTGGGCATGGGGGCCTCAGCCACTGCTCCTCTGGGCATGGGGGCCTCGGCCGCTGTTCCTCTGGGCATGGGGCCTCTGCCGCCATGAAGATGCAGGACACTGAGTTGCTGCTGCAGAGTCCCTCCCTGGCCACTCCCTCCCTTCCTTCTCAATCTGTTTCCAGCACCTCTTCCTCTGTCCATACTTACAGGGTTGGTCAGCTGTGTCCCCAGCCTCTGCTCCCTGTGCGCCTGCCTCCCTCCGTCCCAGCGCTGGCTACAGCCTGGAGTTTCAGGCCCGTCCACACCCTGGACATTCCCCAGAGGCTGCAGGACCTGGAAGCTCAGCCAAGTCCCCACCCACCCAACCCTCTTCCTCACTCAACAGTGTGTCAGGCCGAGGGGGTCCAAGGCTCCAGGACCACGACATCTGGAATATCTGTGGAGGGGGTTCTGGAGGAGGCTGGAGGGTCTGGGAGCAGTAAGTGCCAGTGGAGGAGGGGTGTGTCCAGGGCGGTTCTGGTCATTCCGGGCAGAAGAGCAGAGGGCAGAGAGCTGAGGCTGCGAGTGCAGCGTGTCTGGAGATGGGGTGATCAGATCCACCCAACTCAGGTCCTGGCCGACGGTAGTTCCTGCACACAGGGGTGGCCTGCAGTCGAGTGCCTGCTGTGGGGCCTCAAGTGTGAGCTGTGGCCAGCGTGAGCCAATTTAGGAGCTAAGAGCGAGGCCTACGGGAGGTACTTCTGCCTATTCTCTCAGAGCACACTGAAGCTGGAGGCTTTGTACCCAGGCCTCTGGCTCCCAGTCCAGGCTCTCCCCACAAGACCCCCCCACCACGCACCCTCCCTCCTCCAGCCACTGTGCTGGGGGCTCTGCTGGCTGCACACTGGCTCCATCTGCTCTGGGCTGCATGGCAGGAATATTTTGGATGACTCCTGCGAGGCAGCAGGCCCTTGGGGAGCCTGTGGTTTCCCCGCCTCTCTCCTTTCTCACTCCCGAAATAGAGTCTGGCCCCAGGGGACCGGGGGCTGGAGATGGGGACAGCCAAGCCAAGGGCCATCTGGCTGCCTCTGCGGACGCCCACTTCCTCCTGAAACCATCGTGGAGACAGAGCGGGGAGGTGGCCAGGGGGCCGGGGCTGCCTCTGGCCTCTGCAGGGTGGGAGGGCCCCCAGAAGCCTTTCTGTCCTCCTGGGACTTGGTTCCTCTTCTTTAAAGGGGAAGATGACATCTCCCTGTCCGTACTGGCTTCACTGCAGAGCAAGTGAATGAAACCACCAGCACCGAAGGGATGGAGGTCCGCAGGGGTTCACACCAGGGAGGGACCAACAGGCCCAGCCCACCTTCACTCTCGAGCACCCGGCCCACCAGTTTCCCCTCACCACCTGCATCTCAGCCCATTCTGCAAGACTCGGTGCAGGATGTCACAGGTGCTGCCTGGAGCCTCTGACCCCGTGATCTCAAACTTGGGATGGAGCCTCCAGCATCCCTGTGTGCCCCAGCAGGACACCAGGCAGTCAGGGGAGCCATGCCCAACCCTCGTGCCGGGACTGCACCCTCCAAGGACCTCATCCAGGGCTGGTGGCAGCTGGCTGGGCCGCAGGCCTCTTAGCCCCTTCTTGGGTCCATGTGCCAGTGGTTGCTTGGGTCACTGCACTGCCACTGTGCTCTCCATTACTCATGAAGCCCAGGCTGTTCAAGCCTCCACCACCACCATTTTGATGCTACAACCCCTTCCCTCAAGTTACTCCCTAGATTTTGTTCTTGTTGTTTGAGATGGAGTCTCACTCTGTCACCCAGGCTGGAGTGCAGTGGCGCGATCTCGGCTCACTGCAACCTCTGCCTCCCAGGTTCACGCCATTCTCCTGCCTCAGCCTCCTGAGTAGGTGGGACTACAGGCGCCCACCATCACACCCGGCTAATTTTTTGTATTTGTAGTAGAGACAGGGTTTCATCATGTTAGCTAGGATGGTCTCGATCTCCTGACCTCGTGATCCACCTTCCTCGGCCTCCCAAAGTGCTGGAATTACAGGCATGAGCCACAGAGCCTAGTCTTCTGTTGTTTTAAGAATATGAAAATCGTGTGCAGATTGGGCATGTGTCTCATGCCTGTAATTCCAGCACTCTGGGAGGCTGAGACAGGAGGATCATTTGAGGCCAAGAGTTCAAGACCAGGGTGGGAAACACAGCAAAACCGCAACCTCTAAAAAAAAAAAAAAGTCAGGTATTGTGGCATGCAGTGGTCCTAGCTACTTGGAAAGCTGAAGCTGGAGGATTGCCTGAGTCCAGGAGTTTGAGGCTGCGGTGAGCTATGATTGAGCCACTGCACTCCAGCCTGGGCAACACAGCAAGACCCCATCTCTAAAAAAAAAAAAAGAAAAGCTTATGTAAGCTATTGACATTCCCCCTCCACCCACCATCCACAACCGATATACCATTCTATGTACTTACCTACTCAGCCACCTACCTATCCAATCATCCACCTATCCACTGTCCATCTATCCATTCACCCATCCAATCATCCACCCATCCAGCATCCACCATCCATCCTTCCATGCATTCATCCATTCATCCACCCATTCATCTATCCATCCATTCACCCACCCACCCATCCATCCACCCACCCACTACCTTTCCATCCACCTGTCTATACACCCATCCACCCATCTATCTATCCATCTATCCTTCCATCCATTCATCCATCTACCCACTTACCCATCCATCCACTCATTCATCTATCCATCTATCCATCCATTCACCCATCCACTCATCCATCCACCCACCTACCCATCTATCCACCCACCTACCCAACTTTCCACCCACCCATCCAGCTTTCCATCCACCCACCTATTCACCCATCCACCCATCTATCTATCTATCCGTCCATCTACCCACCTATCCATCCATCCATCCATCCAGCCCTCCATCCAATTATTCAACCACAATCCACTCTCCCAGCCTTGCACAATCATTCCCCAGGCTACATACCCACCCACCCACCTGTACATCCCCTCACCCATCCACTCATACATTCAGGCATATAGGATTTATCAGACACCCACCTGCTCCACCTCAGACCAGCTCAGGTCCCAGGCATGCCAGCATGTCTCCAGGCTGCCCGGACTTACATGATTCACATGCTCAAAGGTGAAAACAAAGATCCGGGCCTCAGAACTGCTCATCACGCTCTTGGATCCTAATTCATATCCAGACTTTGGCCGTGGGAGCCCTCTGTGAATGTGTGGCGTGGGACTCCCACTGGGACAAGGATTCCAAGGGTTTCGCTGCTAGAATCAGCTATGGGGGATGGGGGGTTGTGGCAGTCATTGAATTGTAGGATGGAAATGGAGGGATCCTAGAAATGCCTGCTCTGACATATACAAGCGGTTTCCACTCAGGTCTTAGGGTTTCCTTCCATGATATTTATTCAGTGAGGAAGTGCTGAGGCCTGCAGTGCCTGGTGCTGGGCTAGGGGTGATGATTCAACAGGAGCAACATGTTCAGGACTACCTCCATCATGGGGCTTGTTTAGGGAGGGGTGCTGCACTCTTGGCCGATTGTCCACACCACGGTCTAGGAGCAAGGCTGCACCCAAAAATGCTGTTTTGTGCTAAGAGGTACCTGGAGGACTGTGAAAAGGAGGCCCCTTCCCACAACCTTCCCAGGTCTGGATGCATTTTGGGGGGAGCAGGAGGTGAGAAGGGCTCAAATTAATAAGCGGTCTCTGTTTGGGGTTGTTCTGGCTGTCCTGGAGTAGGTGAGGGGAGTTGCAGGTACTGTGAAAACCCATCGAGGACCTGGGCCAGGGCCAATGGAGCCCTCCTGGCAGGGGGACAAGCTTCCTGCAGGTCATGGTCAGGACTACACACCCCAGACACCCAGAAGCAGTCAGAATCCTCTACCGAAGGCTTGCGGACTCAGCCTCGTCCGGAGCACCAGTGTGCTCATCCAGGGGAGGAGGCCCAGAGGCCTCCAGCCATCCTGACCTGAATTTTATTCAACCAAGTTCCCCACTCCACGGTTTGCATGGTGATGATTTCCTAACCCAGTTGCAGAACTTTGAGCTGATTTCTGGGATGCCTCAGGGCTGTCTGCTGCTTGGAAGTCAGAAGGACCAGGACTTCGATCTCTGCTGCACTGAGTCCAAGCCGTGTGACCTTGGGGACGTGGCTTCGTCTCTCTGAGCCACCTGTCCTCAACTCTACAGTGGGACAATAATAGCACCCACCCCACAGGGTGCATGCACATTCGACAAGGGAACATGTGTTCATGGCCAGCCCAGGCTGGGAGGAGGGGTCTCCTCCCTCTCCTCCCCCGTCCCCCTCCTGCAGCCCCCCTCCTCCCCTGTCCCCCAGATGGGAGTGTGCAGGTCCAGCTCCCCCAGAACGCTGACAGACTGGGGCAGGCTTGGACTCATTGTTGTCTGAAGCCTTAAGTCTTGGCTAACATAATTAGGATAATTCCAGAGATGAGTTCTGAAATCTCGGGGAAGAGGAATAGGCGAGGGGAGTGAGCTGCCCTCCCAGCCTGCTTCACTGAGTGTGTTAAATGGCAGCTCCATGATTTACCTTCCTATTTACAGAGTAAGCCTCAGCGCCAGGAAGCCCTGTGTGGCAGCGGCCGCAGGACACAAGAAGAATGAGGTGTCGGGTGAGGAGCGCTGCTGGCGTGGATAGGGATGGGCCTGGCTGTGGGTCCTCGCGGGCCTCTGGGCATGTCTGGGTGCACTTGGTGCTGGGTGGCTCATCACAGCCTGTAGTGGCCCCACTGCCTGGTCACTGCAGCCCCTCACCCACTCCTCCTGCTGAACTGTAGGGGCCGCCCTCAGCCCGCTGGCCCCATCTGCCCCAGCTCCCTCTGGGCCTCTCCCCTGTCTGCTGGAGCCCAAGGCCTTCCTCAGAGGTCCCAGGCGTTCCCAGGGCAGACTGCCCCTCCTTGGACGGGCTTGCTGTTCTGTGATCCCCGACACTGGCTGCCAAGCCACCCCAGATGCCACGCAGGCCACGCTCCTGCAGGACACTGGAAGGGATCCCAAAGTGTTCATGATAACAACGGCCAGCTCTCCCATGGGGCCCACCATGTGCTGGACGCTGTGCCAGAAACCTTTGCATTCTTCAGTTCATCTGAGCCGCACCCCGTGGGACCAAGATGAGCCCCATTTTGCAGATAAGGAGCCTGGAGCTTGGAGGGCGAGGCTGATGGTCATGGAGGGTGTCATGAGACCGGGGAGTCCCACTGGGCCAGCAGGATGGAGCCACCGTTCCCAAGCCTCAGTCGGTGTCTGTCCTCCTGTGCTCGTGTCCAGGTACGTGAGCCAGAAGGAGGTCCCCACGAGCTGTCTTCTGCCCAGCCCTGTTGGGCATCCACCCTTCACGTGCGGGGAGCAGACAGCAGGGGAGATGATGAGTGACTGCCATGAAAACGGTCACCAGGCACAGCATCCAGGCCACGCGCCAGAGCCGGCATCTGAGGATGGCAGGGCCACACATCCATGGCCACTGTTGCCAGTGACACACACTCCCTTGGGATCCTGGGGGATGGACCAACCCTGAAAGCACCAGCCTGGGCCTGGTTTCCTTGAGCTGCCATCCCTGCTGGTCCACAACACAGTCCTGGTGGACGCAGGTCTCAGCCCCAGTCTTTTACCCAGAGAAACAATGGAGTTATCACACCTGTGGGGCTGTGTGCACCTTCTCCGTGTGTGAAATTGGCTGCAGCAGCCTTGGGAAACTGATCCACCCCTTGGGAAGGCTCTATGCAGCCACATTGCAGATGGGGCTCAGAGAGGCAGGGTGACTCGCCCCAGGGCACCCAGCTTCAATGCGGCCGAGCCCCTACTGTCTCCAGGACAGGATATTGGGATCCAGTCTTTGTGCACCTTCTCAGCCCCTTGAGTGCCCCCCTCTTTCTCTTGGTGGGCACCACCATACCTGTGCCCTCCACACAGGCCCCAGAGAAGCTTCCCCAACCCTTGCTGAACAAGCACCTCTGCTGTGTCTCCCACTCACATCTCGTGGTGCCAGTGCCGGTCACACGCATCACCTCGTCTCTTTCCTGGTCCTGCTCCCTTCCCCTTTCCCCTTGCTCTCCCAGGCTGTGCTTCTCCTACTGAGTATCAGTACCTTAATCTTTGTGCCAGGCTCTGATTTCTCGGCGGCTGGATTCCTCTGCGTTCCCATGGCCTCCCTGCTGGTTTTCTTGCTCCCCCAAGGCCGGGGGTTCCTTCTACTGAAATTTGTCCCCTGAGATCTGAAGATGTTAGGAAAACACGATTTGACGAGGCCAACACTGACTGAGGTATGTTTGTTCACGTGTTCTTTCATTTATTCATCCAAATGACGATGGTTTGGGTGTTCTGGGAGGTAGACTGAGACGGGGAGGCATCCTGGGGGAGACGCTTGTGGGAGACAAAGGGAAGGGTGGCAGGTGAGGGGGAGGGAGCACGCCTTTTCAGATGTTGAGGGGGAGGGAGCACGCCCTTTCAGATGGTGGGGGGGAGGGAGCACACCCTTTCAGATGGTGAGGGGGAGGGAGCACGCCCTTTCAGATGGTGAGGGAGAGGGAGCACGCCCTTTCAGATGTTGAGGGGGAGGGAGCACGCCCTTTCAGATGGTGAGGGGGGAGGGAGCACACCCTTTCAGATGTTGAGGGGGAGGGAGCACGCCCTTTCAGATGGTGAGGGAGGAGGGAGCACGCCCTTTCAGATGTTGAGGGGGAGTGAGCACACCCTTTCAGATGGTGAGGGGGAGGGAGCACACCCTTTCAGATGTTGAGGGGGAGGGAGCACGCCCTTTCAGATGGTGAGGGGAGGGAGCACACCCTTTCAGATGGTGAGGGAGAGGGAGCACGCCCTTTCAGATGTTGAGGGGGAGGGAGCACGCCCTTTCAGATGGTGAGGGGGAGGGAGCACACCCTTTCAGATGTTGAGGGGGAGGGAGCACGCCCTTTCAGATGGTGAGGGAGGAGGGAGCACGCCCTTTCAGATGTTGAGGGGGAGTGAGCACACCCTTTCAGATGGTGAGGGGGGAGGGAGCACACCCTTTCAGATGGTGAGGGAGGAGGGAGCACGCCCTTTCAGATGTTGAGGGGGAGTGAGCACACCCTTTCAGATGGTGAGGGAGGAGGGAGCACACCCTTTCAGATGTTGAGGGGGAGGGAGAACACCCTTTCAGATGTTGAGGGGGAGGGAGCACACCCTTTCAGATGGTGAGGGGGAGGGAGCACGCCCTTTCAGATGGTGAGGGAGGAGGGAGCACGCCCTTTCAGATGTTGAGGGGGAGTGAGCACACCCTTTCAGATGGTGAGGGGGAGGGAGCACACCCTTTCAGATGGTGAGGGGGAGGGAGCACGCCCTTTCAGATGGTGAGGGGGAGGGAGCACACCCTTTCAGATGGTGAGGGGGAGGGAGCACACCCTTTCAGATGGTGAGGGAGGAGGGAGCACGCCCTTTCAGATGTTGAGGGGGAGGGAGCACACCCTTTCAGATGTTGAGGGGGAGGGAGAACACCCTTTCAGATGTTGAGGGGGAGGGAGCACACCCTTTCAGATGGTGAGGGGGGAGGGAGCACACCCTTTCAGATGGTGAGGGGGGAGGGAGCACGCCCTTTCAGATGTTGAGGGGGAGGGAGCACACGCTTTCAGATGTTGAGGAGGAGGGAGCACACCCTTTCAGATGTTGAGGGGGAGGGAGAACACCCTTTCAGATGGTGATGGGGGAGGGAGCCGCCCTTTCAGATGGTGAGGGGGGAGGGAGCACGCCCTTTCAGATGGTGAGGGGGGAGGGAGCACGCCCTTTCAGATGGTGAGGGGGGAGGGAGCACACCCTTTCAGATGTTGAGGGGGAGGGAGCACACGCTTTCAGATGTGGAGGAGGGAGCACGCCCTTTCAGATGTTGAGGGGGAGGGAGCACACCCTTTCAGATGGTGATGGGGGAGGGAGCACACCCTTTCAGATGGTGAGGGAGGAGGGAGCACACCCTTTCAGATGATGAGGGGGGAGGGAGCACACCCTTTCAGATGGTGAGGGGGAGGGAGCATACCCTTTCAGATGGTGAGGGGGGAGGGAGCACACCCTTTCAGATGGTGAGGGGGAGGGAGCACACCCTTTCAGATGGTGAGAGCCCTTTCAGATGTTGGGCTGTCCAAGAGCACGCCCTTTCAGATGGTGAGGGGGGAGGGAGCACACCCTTTCAGATGGTGGGGGGGAGGGAGCACACCTTTTCAGATGGTGAGGGGGGAGGGAGCACACCCTTTCAGATGGTGATGGGGGAGGGAGCACACCCTTTCAGATGATGAGGGGGGAGGGAGCACACCCTTTCAGATGGTGAGGGGGGAGGGAGCACACCTTTTCAGATGGTGATGGGGGAGGGAGCACACCCTTTCAGATGGTGAGGGGGTAGGGAGCCGCCCTTTCAGATAGTGAGGGGGAGGGAGCCACCTTTCAGATGGTGAGGGGGGAGGGAGCACGCCCTTTCAGATGGTGATGGGAGAGGGAGCACGCCCTTTCAGATGGTGGGGGGGAGGGAGCACACCCTTTCAGATGGTGAAGGGAGAGGGAGCACGCCCTTTCAGATGGTGATGGGAGAGGGAGCACGCCCTTTCAGATGGTGGGGGGAGGGAGCACGCCCTTTCAGATGGTGGGGGGGAGGGAGCACACCCTTTCAGATGGTGAGGGGGGAGGGAGCACGCCCTTTCAGATGGTGAGGGGGGAGCCGCCCTTTCAGATGATGAGGGGGTAGGGAGAAGCCCTTTCAGATGGCAAGGGAGGAGTGAGCATGCCCTTTCAGATGGTGAGGTGGGGGGGAGCCGCCCTTTCAGATGGTGAGGGCGAGGGAGCATGCCCTTTCAGATGGTGAAGGGGGGGAGCCGCCCTTTCAGATGGTGAGACGGGCCTGGCACCTGGGAAAGGAGGGGAAGGCCGAGGAGGACAGGCAGGATGGGGAGGACGGAGAGGATGAGGGGAGCTCAGATCCTTGTGCAGCTGGGGGAAGTCTCAGCCAGTGGCGGTTGCTCCAAAGTAAAGGCTGCCATAGATGGGTCCAGTGTGGGTTGGAGAGGATGAGCCCTTTTACCCCTGTCTGCTCTGACACTGCCCACAGCTGCCAGGGAGGTATGTGGCCTTGGCTCAAGAGCTGAAGCAAATCTTGTAAGCAGTGCTGCTGGGGACTGGGGGCTGGCGGCTGTGCACCTGCTGTCTCTGGAGGGAGAGCTGAGCGGCCCCATATCGCTGCCCTGTAACCACGCATCCAGCACTTGGGACTCCCATAGGGATTAGACCGCACCCAGCCCTGCTTCTAGGAGCCCCACCTGGAATACTCATCCAGGGAGCAGAGAGCCGGGAAGCACCGGCCGGGAAGGTGGCTCGTCCAAACTCTGGAAGCGGCTGATCTTCCAGGGCTTCTGCCTCAGTGGCCCTCCTCTGACAATCTTGCCTGCCCATCCCCCACAGTGGCCTTGCCGGGCCCTTCCTGGTTCTGCTTCTGCCCCGTCCAGGGGAATCTGAGCTCTGCCAGGTTTCCATGGCCACAGCCTCTCTGCTCTGGAATTTGCGAGTCCAGCACACCGCGGTGGGGGGTGGAGAAGGCTGTGCCTCCTGTCAGGAGGTGTGGAGGGAGGTCACGTCTGACCGCGCTCCGCATTCCAGTGGAATTCTAACTCAGGGTGTATGGGGAGGTACACGGAAGGTTCCGGTCCTCCTTGCCGGGGGGCTTCAGACGCAGAGTGGCAGTGGGGACCCCGGAATGAAGGGGGTCCTGCTGCGGGTTTGCCGTGTTGCTGGCGATGGCCGCCCACCCCGATTTTGCAGGTGTGGGGCCTGGCTTGCAGGGGGCCTGTGTCCAGGGTCACGTGAGGCCAGCCTGGCCTGTTCCTGCTCCCGCTCTGTGTCACTGGTGGCGTCCCCAACCCCACGTGCCAGCTCCTCAGCTGCAGCTCCTGGAGTGGCCAGGAAGCTTCCAGATCTGCATCCCCTAGGAGTTCCGTTGGGGTCTTCAGCGAGCTCCCTGGCTTCTTAGCACCCCCACCATGCTTTTCCCACAGCCCTGTCATGCCTCTCTCAGGAGCTTGGAGCAGAACAGTTTGACATTTTGGGAAAAAAAACTGAGAAAATGAGCATCAGAAACGTACTCGGTGGTGACGCCTGCTGCTCTGTCTCCCACCAGCAAAGCCTTTGCTGTCTGCAGCGTTTGACTGGCTGGTGTGGAGCTGCTCCGTCCCGTCTGGTCAAGAGCAGGCTTGAGCCCATCAAGGTCCGGGCGTGCTTTGCTGGGTGAGAAAGAAGGTGGGAGCAAACCCCTTGGGCAGAGGTGAAGGAGACCCGCACAGACGCCCCGTCCCCAGTGCAGCCGTCCTCGTCCCCTGTGGAGCTTCTTGGCCATGAATTGACTTTTCAGAGGCTGCCTGTTTCCCCGCCCAAGGTCTGCCACATGGCGGGCAGGGATCTGTGAGGCTGGCTGTTTGTGCCGGTTTCCCCAGAGCCAGGCCGGGCCTGGCCCACAGCAGGAGTTCTGACCTGTTTGTTCAATGAATGAATGTAGGAATGAATGAGTGAGACCTTGTGCCAGCCCCTGGTGTTGGTGCTTTCAGACCATTCCCTCTCACAGCCCTTGGACAGGGCGTCATTACCTGGCCCTTGACGTCACCACGTGGCCCTTGAGGACACCAGTGGTGGAAATGAGGTACGATGAGGAGTATCACAAAGTTGCCCCAAACCTACTTTGAGCTATGACGGCAACACCGAGGCTGCTGCTTTAAGGGACACCCCAGAACTTGAGCATCCCACTGTGGTCATCCTGGGGCCAACAGGGCTGGGGCTGTCCAGGGCTGGCGCCGTTTACCCCTGTCCCTACCCTGTGGGTCCTCATCCCAGCTTGCCTTAGGCCAGTGCCCTCACCAACACAGCCCGGAAGTCATGCTGGGGTCTTCGGATGTTGTCTGTACAGGGCAGTCCCAGAGCTGGGAAATGACGGGGTCATATTTGTGGACAAGTTTCTTCCTCCTCACCCCAAACCAGAGCCTGTGGCAGGGAGAAGGACAGAGCCAGCCCACCCTGCCTTCACCTCCCCAACACCCTCTGCTTCTCCCCATGGCCCAGCCACCTGGTGCACATCCTTGCCCTGGTGTGCCCAGCAAACTCCTACACAGACATCAAAATCCCGCAGGCCCCCGCCCCCGACTCAGGGTAAGGAGTAGGTCTTCTCTCCCCTGCTCTCTCTAGCACGGGGAGGATGAGATATACTGAGGGACAGGATCCCCCCTTTTACGGATGGGGAAACTGAGGCCACACCTACAGCAATAATCTCCAAGTTGCATAAACCCTGGCAGCTGGTGCTGGAATTTGGGGCCCTAATTCCAAGCCTGCTGTGGTCCCTTCCCGACCACGCTGCTTGGTTG